ACTCGCTTTTCTCTCTAACGGTCAAAAAAATCAATTCTCATAATCATTGCTGACCAAGCCCAAAGTTAAGAGCATACCTAATTTTTCGAATTGTCTTTCTATGAATTTTAGGCAATCTTTTACAATGAACTTACAAATATGACATACACAACAAAAATGAAATAGTATACCATTGAAAATCGGGGTTTAGTTGTCCAGTCACCTTTTCAATAAGTACTATGTTGATCAAAATATTGTCAAAAATATAATTACGAATTTTGCAACTTAAATTCTCTAGTAACTTCCGTTAAAACATAAAAAATATTTAGTCCTCTATGAGGATATTCAATTGCTTTAAATGCAATATTTGTTTATGCATTAATCATAACCTTTATGATTATTATTGAACTGCATCGATGTATTTATTTAGATCGTGTACCGTCCATAATTTTTTTTAATCATATAAATCAATAGCATATAAACAAACAGTATGACAAAATATTTAAGGTAATTAAAACGATGAAACAAAAGGAAATTACAATGACTAGAGAAAAAGCACCATATGAAAAAAAGTGGGCTGCTCAAATGAGAGGAGGTGGAGAGTGTAATAAGAAGACAATATTTTTTTTTTCTTATTTTCTAACTATCACTTAGTGTCTTTAAATAGTATGTAAACGATCAAACAAAAAAAAAGTTGAAAATAAAATTATTTATAAAAATTAATTTGTAAATTTAGTTTGATTTCCAATTTTTTAATCGAATCGGTGTCCAATCCTATGCTCTTATCTGATGTATAATTTGGTATACCATGTGCACTTTGATAAAATATTTAGGTGAACAACAATAATTTGGTTTGGGAGAGAGTGTGTAAAATATTAACGTGGACTTTGTCGCTTATATTGGATAATATTAATAAACACTAATCACTATGCTTAACTACGTGGACACTTTGTTCATGCAAAGATTAAAGTATGGATTAAGGGGGTATCCAATGTGATAGTTGTTATATAATTAAACATTGTTTTGTGTCGCGATTTTGTAATAAAAAATTCCAAACGGTGGATTATTAGTAGTCCGTTCGGCACAGCTCATATTATTGATTAACTTTTTATTTATTCACTTATACTATAATATTATCAATGAAAGGTTCATTTTTGGAGGGTTTTAGACATATGCTTTTCATACGTCCACCACATCAAATTAATAAATAGATCAAAACGAATAATGGATAAGTAGATAGTATTTATGGATCAATCAAAATCTATTCATCATTTGATCTCAAGCCAAAGTGTTTATTCTATGCTCCAAACCCACCTTAGATCAACTCATTCGAACCATACTACTATGTTTTATAATCATATTACAACATAGTGGATCGCTTAACTTTTACCGACTCTATAGACTTGATAATGGGCCTAAAAATACAATATATATTTTTCACGAATGAGCCCAATTTACATAACTAAAAAGGTTGAACCCCAACCTTAAGGGCCCCCACGGACCCTGCCCTGGGCCATCGTGGAAGAGGTAAATCGCAGGATGTGCCTCCCAGGAGCCAGGGTGGAGAGCACATGGATAGGCCAATGCTGTTAACCCATATGGTAACTCCCGCTTGCAACAAAGCCAATTCTACCTTACGGGGAATCGAACTCTGCACACTACCGCGCTGAGCCCTATCCGCCTTCCCCTTTGCCACCGGGAGATATGCCCTGGGGGCCCAATTTACATAACTAAGCTGTCGTCACAAAGATGTCAATATTATAAATATAAGACTTGTTGGAATGTGGTGATAATCGAGTCATCAAGGTAGTGAGGTCAACGGAACTTTTTCTTTCTTTCAACTTCCTTTTGTATTTCAATTTTATAACGAACTCAACTTTCATTAGTAAGTTTTCGAACATGTTTGTTTACTAACGACGTAAAACAAAACAAAAAAGTTCGACAACTAAAATAAAAGTTCATTTATAGTTCAATGACTTGTCTGCGACTTGAGATTAGCTGACAAGACTTAGAAATCATATAATCAACGAGTTATATTGACGGACCAAACGGTTCCGCGTGGATTCACTGTGTAATGGCAGTGCAATCATATGAGTTCATCTTTGTCACATTTGTCCTTTTTCACATGAAAATTTTCCTTAAACTGATAAAATGGACAACAATATCAAAAAGCTTGTCTCGTTTTTGTGGGTTAACGTACGACCATTTAATTAATGATCCAAAAAACAAATGTCACAAATTGTGTGGTGTTGATGTACAAACCCTGCTACATGAACAAGATCGAGAGCCTATATGGAGCTGATTTTTTAAATCAATTTTTTGATCATTAGTTTGAAAGGTAAGTCTCACCTGTGACTGAAGAAGTAAAAAAAAGACGGTTTACGATGTTAAGTAATGATCAAAAAATTGATATTTTGGTTTGAAAAATCAGCACCAAACAAGGACAAAATTAAAAATAGAGCGACCTGTGTCATTTTTCATTGAATAGTTAGAGAACAAAACAATAAAAGCAGACATATAGGTGCTGCCACATAATACCTATCACGAAACCCTGTTTTTTTATCCTTGTTTGAGTATCTTTATTTAAGTTTTTTTAGTTTGAAATTGTGTCTTACCATGTTATTTTGATGTAATGCATGACTCGACCTTGGACACTCTCGGATTTGCTTCGCTGCAATATTTTTTGCTCATTATAATAAGGAGCATGTTCGGCAAATTTTAAAATTGATCAAATATATTTTTTATTCACAACTTTTTAAAATTCAAAACCTATTAATCATTTATTATTTACACATTTATATGACCTACAATTTATAAACACTCAAAGAAATTGAAACTTTACCAATCATGCACTAAACTTAGGGGTGTTGGAGGCTGTATTGGTCTACAATTGATCTAAAATCAGTAAATCTCTATTAATTATTGTGCTTCTACTTGTCCGGCGTCGGCATTTCATGTATTAATACATTACAAAAAAATAATAAGATGATCATATATTAATGAATCTTGAAAGAATAATACTATTTATCATTAATAAAAATAATCACCGATCTAGGTGGTCCGCAATGGACTGTCGAATCATGAACCAATTATTCAAGACGCGTCGTAATTCTATTGAACAATGAATCAAGAAGTCCACTTTCATGTAAATGCATCGAGCAATAAATTAAATGATCCGCTATGAAATAAACTCATGACGAATAATATTACTTTTGCCGAAGATTTTCAGATGTAATGGATACATAACAAATGGAGCCCACATAAGCTTGAAAGGCCCACCATACCAAATGTTGGCCCACCTGACAATTCAGTGCATAAAAAAGCATGCAATCAGTGTCATACATTCACCTACTCCACTTTGTATATTTCATGATAAGGGATAATATTTATATTTTTAACTGGACCGGTTCAGAGTGCACGTATTTTAAAGTATTTCTAAAGAATCATTTTTTTATAATATCTGATAAACAATTCAAAGAACATTTTTGTTTTTAAAATTCTCAATACTAAAAGAGAAACGTAATCCAATTTAATTAATTAAACGAGGATAAGGATATATTTAATATGAATTATGAAATTACAATGTACAAAAGTAATAAAACAATAAATTAGATCTTAATTTTCTTCTTTGACTTTAATGTTAAGCCGATAAAGATATGTAGTTACTTAGTTTGGTCCAAATTTTATTCGTAAAAGTAAGGATCACTGGTTGGTCTTAACGTCATTTGTCGTAGAAAAATTTTGTCGAAAAAGGATGGGGTGAGTGAGAGTACGAAAATTTTGAAGAAAATGACCTCTTTGTTGCATAAAAATTATCATGAATGAGAGTGACAAGAAATCCAATTATATAATCACTTGTGGTGGTGGTTCAATGAAAATGTGACATAGGTTCTAATAAAATAGTTATGAAAGTGTTTGTACTTATATTATATTTGCAAATCAATCATTTTGTGAAAATAAAATAGGGTATTTTTCGATTATTTTCATGGATTCTAGGGAAGTAATGAAAGGCATAGGAGTCTATATAGTGGCAAAGGGTGAAAGGGGACTAAACATTAGCAATTTTTTTTTAAAAGAATAATATTTGCCAAGAGCTGCATGACTATGTATCTTGGCCAAAAGACAATATGGTTTTTTTTAATTAATTGCCAAGAGCTGCATGACATTTTTTTTTAATTAATTGCACTTTGATTCTCCATGCCTTCTGCTAATATACGAATAGTTACTCAACCTAGTCACGAGAACTTAAGACGAACTTTATCTTGGCCAAAAGACAATATGGTTGAGAAATATTTGATTTCCCCAAGTATTTGGGAGCTTTATTGGTTACATTCTCGTCATTGTTCTTTCGACTATATGTTTATGCATTCATCGTCGCATGTTGAATAACTTATACAAGTCGAGAACTTTACATCTAAGTATATATGCATGAATCTACTCGGCCTTAAAAAAAGAGAATCTTGTATTTGTAAGATATTACCTTCTTCTCAGCAAACACTTGGAGAAAATAAACGATACTTTCATTCAAGAGTAGTCATTCTCGACATGCCATGAAGTGAAGGACTCAACATTTACCAGCTTAAATTTTGAGTAGAATGATTAAAAAATATCCCTATAAACAAATAATATGGAATTAAGCCCCACCATTTCATATAAAATTAGTTAATAGTCTACAATTAAGTCCCACCACTTCACATTTACAAAGATATTAAATGTATCGAGCTTTAATTCGAACCAATAAAAATAACCCGAAATACTGGCACATTGTTGTCAGTTATTTCTTATTCTTTTCATTTTTACGTAAAGTTTGGGAAAGCAACTAACTTTTCTTGTCTCTTCGAAATTTACTTTGACAAGTGGCTCGATGGAAGAACTCATTAAACAAAAAAAGTTACTTTTGATTTGAACTTTTTAGTAATTTACTTTCATATAATTATTACATTCTTGTTACTTTCGGACCAAAATATAAAAGAGATAATTGCAATAATGAGAAATAGGAACCACCGAGTACTCGTTACTATTCTAGTCCCAATTCCACTTTGTATCAAATTTCCACTTGTCAACTTCCAACAAAAACCCCACGCAACCGAACTTTGCCACCACTGTCTATCTCTATATGTATGTATTTTCTTCAAGAATTCCTTGAGGATTATTAATATATCTATGCCTTTAATCTCCATGTCCAAACCCAATAAAAAAAATTAGGCATATTCACCAAAAATGTCAACTTCTGATGGCAATTCATCCATCAAAAGCCTTAGTGAGATATCAGAAAAGGAAACTGTGAGCTTCAGTGTCGATCTTGTGGCTGCTGCTAAACGAAATCTTGGATTTTTAAAGCTTGTTAATGATTCCCATTGGCTGCACCAAAAATCTAACATTCTTGAAGCCATTAGAAGGTATTTCTTTCACTTCTTTTTAGTCCGTACTTGGTTATTCTTCTACGTTCTTAAATGGATTAAATTGGTTGTTTGAGTATTTGGACTCTCATATTCTATTAAGTTCTGTCTTAAAACCTGTGGAAATGTATTATTGTTTTCATGGGATTTTAGAGTTTACGAATACTAGATTTGCTTTAAATATTGTTGTCAAGATCACGGCAAAAGGAGATGAAAATGGGCTGCAGGAGGGTTCTATTTGGAATTGTAGTGCGAATTATAATCTGAAAATAATAGAAAAATATTGGAAAACTGGGTTTTTTGGAATTGGATTTATGATTATTGTGTTCAAGTAAATATTAATTGCCGATTTTATAGGTATTATGAGCTATGGATGCCATTATTTGCTGATCTTATTTCGGACTCTAAGCCTCCGATGATTCTTCCTCCTCTTGATATTGAATGGGTTTGGTATTGTCATACTTTAAATCCGGTAAATATCTATTTCATCACTCTGCAATGAGTTGTCCGATTTTTTTATTATTTTTTGGTTTGGCATTGTCTATTTCTTTATGTTTTTGTTAATTACTTCTATAATCTTGATATCAGACCAGTTATAAACATTACTGCGAGTCGAGATTCTCAAAACTGATAGGAAAGCCGACTATATTTGATGAAGAAAATGAAGAGTATGCATTGAACAGATGCAGAGAAATCTGGGAACACAGATATCCATCCGAGCCTTTCGAAAATGAAGCTGATACGAACTCAGATGATCAGCCAGTTTTTCCACAAGATCTGTTGGATGAAGTATCAAAGCACAGATATCTGTACAATAAATTTTCTGAACCGTACAGTTCAGATATGGCGTATTTAATAGCATCAAAACAGAGGTATAAAGGATTTATTTACATGATGCAAAGATTTTCAAATAAATGCTCCCATCTGGTGCCCACTTCAGATGTTCTATTAATGTGGCTGACTCATCAGGTGTGTTTGTTATCATCTTTGATTAGTAAACTTTCTTGTTTTGAGTCTACTGGTCTATTTTTTAAAATTAAAACATAAAAAAATAAATCCGATGAATCCCTAAACAACACAAGTTTTTAGATGAGCTAGTTTAACATTAATATCATATTAAATGTAGGTTTATGTCTCGCTGCTGCCCATTTATGAAATCTCCACATATTGGATCCATGATGAAAAATGAATTTGCCCTTCAAGTTACGGGACATGTTGAATGCAAATTATAAGAAATATGGTACCACAAAAGAAAGTAAAGCCAATATGTCGTTAGGTGTTGTGGATTAAAGTGAAGGATATATTATTTTTTTTTTCTAAAAATGTTCTTGAATATAGAATAGTTTTCTAGATTCATTGCTTCAAGGCAGTGCGTATTGGAATATTAGTATGGCACATGCTTATAAATTGTTTAGCTTTAACATGTGAAAGAACATCAATTCTGTGACCTTTGTCCCTATTGCTTTTGTGGTTGTTTAATTTTATAGTATTATACACCACTTGGTGGTGATGCATCAATCCTAAATTATTAGTACAACATGTGGTAGAAGAGAGTGAAAATGTGTCATCTCTTTCAACTTTCTGGTGGATAATCGACCCTTTTTCTTATTTCGACTTGTATTCTGTGTTTGTGCTTATGTACATATATTCCCATACATGGTTGCATGTGAATTTTTGCATTCACGATCTGATATATACGTCACGTGTTTCTTATTCTAATTTTTATATCCATAATTTTCATAATTTTGTGCATTTTATAATTTTTGATAAATGTATTGTTAATATTTACATAGCTGTGATGATGAAATCATGCATTTTTTTTTTTTTTAATATAAATATTAGAGCTATCCAACAATATATGCAATTGACATTAAAGAGTTGGAGGGGGATATAGAAAAGATAGTTGGGCCTTGGGAAGCTGTGGAGGAGGAAAACATTGAAGAAACCAAAGTGCTTTGGGAGAGAACTTTTGATCAACCATATGAGAAAGCTGGTGGTGCAGCCATTGGAAGTACTGTCAATATCGAAACGCCTTTTTACTGGGACATATCAGATATTGATGTTAACACAAGATATAAGTCCATGGTACCCCGATTCTTATTTGAGGTTCGTTGGCTATTGATACTATCGCTTCCAATTCATTTTAAAGATATTTGGTAGGAATGGTTGGATTGCACTGGACATTACTAAGAAACATAAAGAAGCTAAGGTCTAGCTTATTATACTGTTCGGTTCTATCGATAAACCATACCCAAACATACACTTCACATATATCTATCAAAATAGAAAACAGGCGCTTTACATGTTTACTTAAAGCAAATTGTTTGAATGCATTTCTCTTTCGATAATAAAAGAGGATGATTCCTTAAACCTAGATTTTAATACAATAAATTTCTGGATATGTTAATAGCTCAGACACATGCTCCCAGCCATGATTGCCAGTTATTAATAAACGAGACATGAAAGAACATTCTTAGTTTTTTAAATCGCAAAAAGTGGTTAGTTGGACACTGGTTGGTTGTTTGAACTTACTTGATTCTATTTATGTTAAAATTGCTCGGTGTGTGATTAAAATATACATATTATCATTATCACATGGCTCAGCCCATATTGCCATTGTGATTTTCTGAATTTTCTACGAAAAGGTTTTTTAATCAAATTATTTCGCCATATTTGTGATTTAAGAACGTGGACCAAGTAAACTGATATGTAATGATTGCGTCTTGTCAACGCAGCTCTGCATATCAGTGAAATTGAACACAAAGATGAAGCAAATGGAAGGGAATTTTTCCCGAGAATTTCTCCGTCTCCGAATGGTCAAGTGTCACAGGGAGCTCAAACTAGATAAACCAGTATCTAAATTCGCCTCAGACTCATGGAAAAAGGCTTGGCATCTTTACTGTGAATTTGGGACTAAAGGAATGATAGTCGAGGTCCGTCAGCTAGGAGGCCATTGCTTTAAAAGTAGTACCCTGCAACAAAGCGTAAAATATACTTGGAATGACTTGTTACGTGCACCATCTCTCACTTCAGATAAAGAGTTCAATCAAAGATTGAGGGCTGTTGCTTCGATCACTCCACCTGTGCAAGCATCTTACTTGCTGAAATGCGTTCCGGACCGAGTAACAGATGATTCGGGTGCAATGGTATCAGATGTAATTCTGAAAATGAACCAGTACAGGCCTCAAAAAGGTCGATGGTTATCTCGAACCGTTCTGGATCATGCTGGAAGAGAGTGTTTTGTTATTCGAATGAGGTAACGAAATTTCCCTACCTAACGAGCTTGTGATTTTCAGTACATTGAACCACACTGCGCCTTGATCTGAAATTTCCTATTTAAATGGTAGAGTGGGAGGCGGGGTTTGGAGGAGAGGGGCTGAAGCTCCTTCGACCGTAAAATGGGAGGACAGGATCATAGAAATACGCGAGGGTTCTTGGTCTTACGTCAGCAGTTCCAGTTCCATTGGTTTTGCTCCTGGTATGTATATGAATTCCCTTTTTACTGCCCCCTCCGTGTCTTCGTGTCTGACTCATGTATCAGCAACATCAGTTTTTATATTGAAGGTCAAAAGAAGGAAAAAGAATAATTAGTGTACGTACTGCATGCACTATTAGACTGTATGAGACACTATAATGAACAAGATTCTAGTTTATCTAACTTTTCTTTAATACTGTCTAGTAACATCTAATTTACCTTACCAAACAAGCCTTAAGCTTTTATTTTTTCTTGTGTTAAATAGGCACAAACACTTACTTAATAAGTTCATCTTATTTTCTCTGTGCTGATTCTGAAACGAGCATAATTACTAAATCTCTCTTCGGTTCAAGTTTTCTCCTAATTTTTTCTTGTTATTTGATTGCAATGCGCCATCTAGTACAGAGAAAGTGGTAGGAACTGCAACACCAAAGGAACCGCCCAAAGGGTGCCAAGCTTATTGGAGTTTGTCTACAGGCGATGAACTGTTAATACAGTGGGACCCATTGACATCTACCTCGGGCCCGACTTTTAATCTGCAAAATGAACAATCTACTGAATCAGTGGTGAGAAATTCATTTTAACTTATTAGAAAGAGTTGCATGCCATATGGACCGTGACATGAAATTTATGAAAAATGATTAGTTACAGGTAAAGCTGTTGAAAGGGCGACAAATGCAATATCGGGTAAAAATGTCTGGGTTAAAGGCTGAAGAAGGAAAAGGAGACAGTTTTGTTGAAGAAGATGAATTTTTTACTATAGTTAGGTTCTCGGAGGAAAACCCTACGGGGAAAGCCACTGCTCTTTTGAACTGGAAGCTACTTGTCGTTGAACTATTGCCGGAAGAAGATGCAGTTTTTGTACTTCTTCTCTGCCTATCAATACTCCGAAGCATATCAGAAATGAAGAAAGAAGACGTTGTTGGGGGTCAGTTACACTTCATCCTTCTTCGTATTCTCCATCCATTTCTTCACCTTATCTCCTCCCTTGGTACTGGAACGCAGAGTTATTTATGTCATCGCAAGTGAAAGATCATATTGTGAATCCACCGGCTTCAAATTATTCACAAGCAGAAGGTGGAGATAAGCTGTATGAGCGAGGGATAATTTCTTAAATAATACTGATTATTTGTGACAGAATTTAAACAGGAAGAGTTGTAACACTATCAGGGATTTTCCTGCTGAAAATTTACTGTGTTTTCGAGGTCTTGTAGATGATCTTGTTCAATTGCAGGAGCTAATATTATTTTTAACTGTTAAAAGAGATATGCTGTGACTCGAGAAAGGTGCAGATGAACAGATAAAATTTGATTTCTAATTGTGATATAAAATAATTAACCTTTTTTTAATGCTCCATCCATTTAATCTATATATGGCAGAAGTATGAATTCCAATAAGCTGTTTCCCTTACCAGACATCCTCTATGAGACATTAATTTCTCCTATTTTCTTGGACTAATGTCTGGTTTTTTCCCTTGTTTCTCCGGAAACCTCAAATTCCCTAACAGAAATAACTGCCTTTGACAAATTTCAGCCCATGTCTTTAACTCCTCAATCTAATAAGTATTGACATTCTTCAGGCCAACAGTGCTTGTTCTTGTTTTTCATAATTTGCAAGGAGAGGGTCAATTAATTCTATAGGCCCTTCTCCATTCCTTATAACAAATTAAGAAAAAAATTGAGAAAGTGATTGAATTGGAGAGCTTGGTTTTTTGTATAAAAAATGGCAAATAAGAAAAAAATTGGCGCACTTGGTATTTCTTCTATATTATTGGTAGCCATGGTGGTTGCTCTTACCATCGGTACCCGGGAAAACAAAGAAACCGATAGTTCTCGTCGCCAGGACATATCTTCTTCTTTGAAGGCCATCCAAACTCTCTGTGGATCAACGGACTACCAAGAAACTTGCGTCGATACCCTCAAATCTTCGGATAAAATAACTAGCGACCCCAAAGAACTCATAGAGCTCGCTTTTGAAGCAACGATCAAGTACATTGAAGATGCTGCTAAGAACTCGACTGTCTTGCAAAAGCTTCAAAGCAATCCCCGGGCAAAATCAGCTCTCGATAACTGCCACGAGCTAGCAAATCGTGCAGTTAACGACCTCAGGAGATCGTATAACAAGTTTAAGGAATTTGATGTAGCTCGTTTTAATGCCATGCTGTCTGATTTGAAGATTTGGCTTAGTGGAGCCATCACATATCAAGAAACATGCTTAGATGGATTTGAAGATGTCCCTGGAGATGCAGAGGAGAAAATGAGGGAGGCTTTGAAAATAGCCATGGAATTAACAAGCAATGGTTTGGCTATGGTGACTGAAATATCGACTGTGATCGAGTCTTTGGGTGTACAAGGATTTAACAATCGTCGTCTCCTTTCCGAAGACATTTCTATTATGGGACATCGCGGTGAAATTCCCGACTGGATTGACATTGAAAGGCGTGAACTTCTTAGTTCCAAGCCTAATAAAATCGAGCCTGATCTTGTTGTAGCGAAGGACGGGTCTGGGAAGTACAGTACCATTAACCAAGCTTTGAAAGACATTCCGAAAAATGGCAACAAGACTTTTGTGCTGTACATCAAAGAGGGTGTATATGAAGAGAAGGTGCAGTTCGACAGCAGTATGAATCATTTGTTCGTAATTGGCGATGGCTCGACCAAGACGAAGATAACTGGACATCTGAACTTCATAGATGGAACTAACACCTACCAGACGGCAACAGTCGGTATGTCAATTAATGCATGCATTAATGAGCACGCAACATGCCCAGAATCTGCGTTTCTTTTACTTGATATTACGTTTTTAACAAATCGAACTCTCATTTCTCTCTGTGTTCGTGCACGCACGTTTTGGAATACTAACGGAAAATACATTTTTTGCAGCCGTACAAGCTGACAGTTTCATGGCCAAGGATATTGGATTCGAAAACTCAGCTGGTGCCGAAAAGCATCAGGCAGTGGCATTGCGTGTCAGCGCAGACAAGGCAATCTTCTACAATTGCCAGATGGATGGCTACCAAGACACGCTTTACGCACACACATACCGCCAATTCTATAGGGACTGCGTAATCTCAGGTACTGTCGATTTCATTTTTGGCGATAGCGCTGCTGTTTTCCAGGGATGCACATTGGTGGTTCGAAAGCCTTTGGACAATCAGCAAAACATTGTGACAGCACAAGGCAGGAAGGATGATGAAATGTGGTTTTCGATTTCATGATAACTTTGCGTTTGTTCATGTTTGGCGAAATGCCTGTCTAATTCCATTGGAATCGAGCCAATGAAATGTGGTTTTTGATTTCTTGATAACTTCGGGTTTGTTCATTTTTGGCGAATTGCTAGTCTAAATCGATTGGAATCAAGCCATTGAAATGTGGTTTATGATTTCATGATAACTTCGGGATTGTTCGTTTTTGGGAAATTGCTAGTCTAATTCGATTGGAATCGAGCCAGTGAAAAGAGGCTTTCGATTTCTTGATAACTTCCAAATTGTTCCCTTTTGGCAAATTGTTAGTCTAGTTCGATTGGAATCGAGCTAATGAAATGTGGTTTTCGATTTCATGATAACTTCGGGTTTGTTCATTTTTTGCGAATTGCTAGTCTAATTCGATTGGAATCGAGCCAGTGAAAAGTGGCTTTCGATTTCTTGATAACTTCAAAATTGTTCCTTTTTGGCAAATTGCTAGTCTAATTCGATTGGAATCGAGCTAATGAAATGTAGTTTTTGATTTCATTATAACTTCGGGTTTGTTCATTTTTTGCGAATTACTAGTCTAATTCGATAGAAATCGAACCAATGAAACGTGCATTTCGATTTCATTATAACTTAAGGTCTGTTCAATTTTGGCGAAATGCTAGTCTAATTCGATTGGAATCGAGACAATGAAATGTGGATTTCGATTTCATGATAACTTCGGCATTGTTCATGTTTGTCGAATTGCTAGTCTTATTCAATTGGAATCTAGTCAATGAAATGTGGTTTTCGATTTCATGATAACAAATAACTTTGGGTTTGAGAAAAACAGAACCACCCGCCGTGTACAAAATAAATTTTGTAGCTGCGATTGCGCCCCTCATCTATTAGTCTTACAATTTCTATCTTTCTCTTTCGGGCCAGTCTAATTCGATTGGAATCGAACCAATGAAAAGTTGCTTTTGATTTAATGATAACTTCAGGTTTGTTTGTTTTTGAC